CATACTCTAGATGTATGGGAACCACTGAGAGCAAAGAGCTGAATGACATGCTTCTGTTCTAAAGGGCCTGTGGTTGATCAAACAGTAACTGATAAGTTTGTCTTCCTCTACTTAGTGTCAGAGGCAAAGGGGTAGACTAGAATGATTTCAGCTCTTTGGAGAGCTGCTCAAAGGATGTTCTGGCTAGTGCTTCTTGAGCTGGGTAGCTTGCAGCAGCTCCAGAGAACTTGAGGTACCACAGAGAGATATCAGAAAGAGCAAAAGATTGTAAGATCTATAAAAATGGAAACCTACAAATCCTTCTAAGAATTTACACATAAAAGTCTAGAAAAGATGCATCCACAGAAAAAGTTCAGTGAGTACCCAGAATCTAATCAGGATGATTAGTGGAGATTTTTCTCTATATAGCATCATTACAGAAAGCCTAGTAGATGTGGCTCTTTCTCTCTGATTGTCATGTTTTAATCCCCCAAAAAAGTTATGAGGCACGTAAGGAATCAGGACAACATGGCAAAATCAAAGGAACAGACTATTCAGGAACCAGTCTTTAAAATGTGGAGTTACACAAATTGTTCACAAAGAATTCAAACCTACCATCATAAAGGTGCCTCAGGAAAAATGATAATATCAACAAAGAACCAAACACATTTTGGAGCTAAGAATGTGGTAACTAAATCAAAAGATATGCTAGGGATTTCAGCAGCAGAGCAAGGAGTCAGCAAATCTCAAAGTCAGGTGATTTTTTAAAAAAAATTACAATTCTTATTATACATATAGAGCACAATTTTTCATATATCTGGTTGTATACAAAGTATATTCACACCAATTCGTGTCTTCATACGTGTACTTTGGATAATAATGATCATCACATTCCACCCATCATTTCTAACCCCATGCCCCATGTCATTTTATCAGGAATAAAGAACATACATATGCACCCAGACTCAGATCACTGAAACATGAAGCAATATTAACAGAACCAATAGGAGAAATAAGAGGATAATAGTAGGAGATTTCAATATCATATTTTCAATAATGGATAAGCTATCCAGACAGAACATCAGTAAGGAAAACAGCCATGTGTGGTGATGCGCACCTGTAATCCCAGCAACTTGAGAAGCTTGGGAGGCTGAGGCAGGAGGATTGCAAGTGCAAGGCCAGCTTCTGCTATTTAGCAAGGCCCTAAGCAATTTACAATAAAAATATAAAGGGCTGGGAATGTGACTTGGTGGTTAAACAACTCCGGGTGCAATCCCTGGTATACACACCAAAAAAGCAAAACAAAACAACAACAACAAAAAACCAAAACATAGGACTTAAACAGTACTGTAGTCCATATAAATGGACTACAGTACTGTTTAAAGACATTGAAAGAACATTTCTTCCAGCACAGCAGAATTATCAGATTTGAGTGTATTGAAATCATATGAAGCATCCTTTCTGATCACAATGAAATGAAACTAGAAGTCAGCAGAGGGAAATTGGAAAATTCACAAATGTGTGGAGATTAAGCACATTCCTGAACAAATTTTTTGGATTACAAAAAGGGGAACCAAAGATCTTGGGTTCAAACCCTAACACCACAGGTTGGGGACAAAGAGAAAATAACCAGAAAGAAAAGCAAATTATGTTTATTTGGTTTAAAGTTGACTTAAGGAATGAATTTATAAAGTAAAAGCATCAATTTACTAGATTAGAGAAGAAACGAGTAAAATAGAAAATAGAAGAAAAATTTACAAAACGTGAGTTTTTTTCCCCCAGAAATCATCAAATAAATAAACTTTTAGCTAGACTAAGAAGAGAGAAGACGCAAAATCAGAAATGAAAAAAGACATTCCAAATGATGCTATGGAATTAACAACACTTAAAAGAGGCTGTTAGGTGTTGACTCATTGAAAACCTAGTAGTAGATAAGTTGCCAAGAACACAGAGCACTTGCCAAGACTGAATCATAAAGAAATATAAAATCTGATTACCTTGCAGTGGTTTGAATGGGGTCTGTCCTAAAAGATTTATGTGTTGGAGACTTGTTTCTCAGTCTGGTGGTGTTAAAGAGGTGGTGGGATCTTTCAGAGTTGGGGCTCAGTCATTACTGGTCCCTGTATGTTGCTGGCTTCCCATCTTGCCAAAGAGCTCTTTGCTGTCAAGTGCTTTCCTATCATGATACCATCAGCTGTGAGGTGAGCCTCAACTAAGGTGAATCTGTGCCTGCCATCCCCCATCCTGGACTTTGAACATCTGAGACTATGAGCTAAAATTGCTATTCTTTATTTAGCCTCAGATGTTTTCTTATAATAGGAAACAGACTAATGAAGAGCAATATGAATAAGAAAATTGAATCTGTAAAATCCTCTTGACAAATAAAAGTCCAGAACCAAATTCTTCAGTAGAGAAATCTAATGCCATTTAAAGAAGTGATATCAGTCCTGACACTCTTCAAAAAATGAAGAGGAGGCAAGCAATATTTCTATATTCATTTTATAAGAGTGGCATTACCCTGATACCAAACTCAAATAACAACATCACAAGAAAAGAAAACTGCAGGTCATATAATTGTCAGTCATAGATGCAAAAATCTCCAACAAAATACTAGCTAACCAAGTTAGTATACTGAAAGGATTCTACACCATGATGAAATGGGATTTATTCAAAATAATTGAAAGCATAAGTCAGAGGTGGACAAACTCTGCATAATTCTACTCACATGAATTTTTAAAGTAGTTAATAGAAACAGGAAGTAGAATGGTGATTATTACAGATGGGGGAGGGGAAATAGGGATTTGTTCTGTATGTGTAGCTAGTCATGCAAGATGCAATCATTCTAGAAAACTGCACATTATGAATATAATTGTCAATGTTAAACACTTAAAAACTGTTAAAAGGGTGGATATTTTGTTATGTATATTTTGCTACTACTATAAAAGAACAAGAAAAAGGCCATCTGGATGGGACAGGAATAAGAGGAAAAGTGATCTCATTTCAAAACTACTTGATTTTATATATAGAACATCCTAATAAATCCACCCCCATAAAGAGTACTAGAGCTAATATTGCATTCAGCACAGTTGTGTACAAGGTCAGTGTACAAAGTTAGATTTATTTCTTGCACTAGAAATGAACAGTCTAAAAATGAACTTAGGGCTGGAAGGATAGTTCAGTGGTGGAGTGCTTATCTGCATGTGTGAGGCCCTAGGTTCAATCCCTAGCACTACCCCCAAAAAAGATTAAGAAATCAAATTCATTAATAAGTATATATAGGAGGAAGCAGTTTACCAAAGAGAGTATAAGTAAAAGCAAATTAAAAGAGTATAAAGGCCAGGAATAACTTATTCATGGACATAAAACTTCTACAAAGTTAATGAAATCCCTGTGAAAATTTCTTTTTCCTTGTGAAAGTGGACATATAGATCCTCATTCATAATGAATTGAAAGGACCCAAAATAACCAGAACAATATTGAAAAAGAATAAAATAGTAGGAGTCATACTTCCTAATTTCAAAACTTAACTACAAATGTACAGTAATCGAGACTGTGTGATATTGTTAAAAGGATAGACATATAGACAGAATTTAGAGTCCAGAAATAATAATATATTTATAGGACTGGGGCTGTAGCTCAATGGCAGAGCACTTACCTTGTATGTGTGAGGCATTGGGTTCTAACCTCAGCACCACAATAAATAAATAAATAAATAAATAGAAATAAATAAAGGCATTCTGTCCATCTTTTTTTTTAAAGGAGTAAAATTTATTCTTGGATAGTATCATTAATATTATAAGAGTCATTAACATATTTAGTTTATCCTTTCAAAATATTTTCTATGCAATTTTGCATATATTTACAAAAATATACTGATATAAAATCATTTCAATCTATCAATTCAGTATTTTCTTTTTTAAATTTTTTATTCTAGTTTGTTATATAAGACAGCGGAATGCATTACAATTCATTACATATTTAGAGCCTTTAAAAAATTAGGCATTTGATTTTAAACAAGTGTGCCAAAAAATTCAATAAAAGAAAAGTTTTCAAAAAATGGTGTTAGGACATTTGATCCACTTAGAAAAGAAATTTGGTACCTATTTCACACAATGTACAAAAATTAATGAAAATAGATCAAAGACTTAATTGTAAGAATTAAAGCTATCAGATTCTTAGAAGAAGAAAACAAATGTAAGTCTTAATGACCTTGAGTTAGGCAATAGTTTCTTAAGTAATTCATTTGAAGCCTATAGTAACCAAAAATAAATATACATTTGACTTTTATCAAAGTTTAAAACTTTGTCAAGAAAGTTAAAAAACAGTTCACAGGAAGAAAGTATTTACAGATCCTGTCTGATAGGGTTCTGTGATATAGTCAGAATGTTAGTCTTGCTTACCCAGCCCCCAGCTCATCTATTGCATCCCATAATGACCAAGGTGAAGGTGGAAACTTTGGGGGAGTGATGATCTTGTGTGGGTTCTGCTTTCATGAATAGGATCAGTGCCCTTATGAAAAAGATGGTGTAGAGCTGCCTTGTCCTTCCCACTCTGTGCCAATTACGTAGGAAATGGGGCCTCCCCAGACACCAGATCTGTGGGCATCTTGTCCTTGGACTTCATTGTCCATAACTGTGAGAAAGAAATTTCTGTTTATAAGTAACCTCGTCCATAGTTTGTTGTTTTTGTAGTCTGAATGGATTAGGAGTAATGACTAGAATATAGGCAAAACTGTTAACTACTCAAAAAAAAAAAAGAAAAATAATCCTGTTTAAAACCCAGAGGTAGTGGGGTTTAAATAAACATTTATGTATAGATAGAAGATGCAGAGATAGATAATAAGAATGCAAGTGGCCAGGCACATAAAAAGATAATCAGCATCATTAGTCATTAGGGAAATGCAAATCAAAAATTCAGATGTTTTTATTGTGTTAAACAGTTGTACATGTTCACATGTCTGTTGCTGGCTGTGCAGTGGTGTATTCTGTGACACTTGAAAAATAATTTTTTTTTTTCTTTAGGAAAATTCTACAAAAATGTCTCTCTATCCATCTCTTGAAGATTTGAAGGTGGACAAAGTAATTCAGGTATGTTTAAATACTTCTTAATTTTTTTTCTATACTGTAACATACATTCTACTTATTTGTGAAGCAAAGCTAGAAACATAACTAGTTGATGTATTTGTATATATTTTTATAATTCATAAAATTTTTTGTTCATTCCTGTTAATGGTAGACAAAAATGTCACAGAGAAACTAGTAATTCTTTTTCATTCCACTGTGAATTAATAGGTGTGGGATGTTATTTCTTTAAAATTTGACTTAAACTCTTCGAAGACAGCTTCTTTTTCAGACTAATGTTTAAACTACTACAACAAATTTAAGTTGATAAAATGTACTCCAGCCTTTACATAATTACAGTTTTGTGTAAAATTGGTACATTTTTCTTTTGGGATCTTTATAATAATTCTAACCCTCCTATTTGAAATTAAAAAATATAGAAATAGTGAAGCACATGCTACTTTTAAAAGAGCAGTATTGTAAAAGTACAAGGGCATAGTGATTTCTTTCCTTCATGTATTAGCTTTGAATATAAATGCTTCTACTTATAAAGAAAATGTGGAGTTGGGATCAGTTCTTGGTATTTTGGAAATATTTGATAATCTTTTTTAGCTGGAAACCATTTTGAACTCACCTGTTTATAGTTTGCTTTCTATTTGATCTCTTATAAACTCAGACTCTGTTCAGCTATGGTTTGTTATTTTAACTTGACAAGATAAACCACACTGTATTTATTACCCACATTGTATTTATTAATACTCTAAATGATCTTTGTTTGGGGGCTACTGAGGATTGAACTCAAGGGCACTAGACCACTGAGCTTCATCCCCAGCCCTGTTTTGTATTTTATTTATAGACAGGTTCTCACTGAGTTGCTTAGTGCCTTGGTTTTTACTGAGGCTGGCTTTGAACTCACGAGCCTCCTGCCTCAGCCTCCCAAGCCGCTGGGATTATAGGTGTGCACCACTGCACCCAGCTAAATAATTTTTTTTAATATGATAATTATGAGGGGTTTCTTTTTGAATTGTTCACTGTTTGCAAACCCCTTATCCTACACTCATTTTACTTAAGTACTGACATTTTACTCTAAAATGAGATTTATCTTAATGATTGAATAATGATCAGAAAAAGTTTATTATGAAGATGTGAAAAGTCTTAAGCAAGCTGAAGAACGTAATCATTTTAGGTAAAATATTGGCCTTACTGGGAAAAGGAAAAAAGCAGAAGTAGTAACGTGTGACTGGGATTATTAACTTTGTGGGAATGGCTGAACTACAGGAACAGAGTCACTAGCAGTTATTTTCCATCTTAAATCCAGGGTGGGTATTAAAGTGTGGTTTGTAAAACTTACAGTTCATCTGCCAGAGCTTTGATGCTTCTGAGTTTTAGGTGGCTTATTCAGTCATCTTAAATGTTGTATCACTTCTTTAGTATTTTGGCAATGTTTTTTTAATGTAGTTTTTATTTCTACAAAGTTCACCTGAACAGTACTTTTTCTTTTAGAAAGCTTTTATATGTGAAATACTTCACTTTCCAGAATAACCACTAAGCCATTAATTAATGTGACATCAGCACATTATCTGATAAAGATTTGTAGGCAGATTTGAGACTAATCTTTGTTTTCACTTTTTTTTTTTTTTTTTGTTAGCTTTCTATGGAACTTACAATTGGCTCTGAACAGAGGCTTTTGATTTTGAAAACAGCAGAAAAAGTCATTGATAATTGACAAGAATTGGATTGAAAAATAAAGAGGGATATAGTCTACATCAGGCTGATTTCTTTAAGGAGAAACAGGTTGCATGAATAATTCCGTTACAGGACTTTTTGTTAGATCAGAAAAATATTTGCTAAGTGATGGAGCCATGAGTAAGGAGGGAAACACGGTTCTTTTCTTCCCCCTGGATTAAAAAGTATTACTAATTTAGCCATTACAATCTTGGGCTGTGTTTTGGGTTTTTTTTTTTTTTTCCTTCATTTTCTAATATGGATTTGTTTTATTCCTGATAGTCCTGAAGAGGTATTGTAGAGGAGTGCAGTATTCATTTTCTCATCTCCTGGCCTTTTATATCACAGCAAAACTCACTCATAGCAGTGAACTGGCAGTTCATATTTTATAAACTATTTTACAATAGCCATTAGGCTGTGGCTTTCAACATTGTATAATCCTAACAGGAGCTTGTGGTTCCTCATCCTATAAAAAATTAAGCTTTTAAGAAACAATGATGTAGAGAACCAGTGCTTTCATTTCCTGTTAATGGTGAGCAGGGTTTGACAGAAGAGACTCCACAAGTATGGATTCTTTCTACATGCTTTCTGTAAATGACAGAAAGAGCAGGCCCTGGCAGTAATTGCCTGGGGCACTGTCCCTCATGCACCCCTGTTTTTTTTTTTTTTTTTTCAGGTTTCAAGGTAAGTTTGAAATAATTTGCTACATTTAATGATTTCCTGTTTTTATTCCCTTGTTTTATTTTTACTACAAATTACATGACTAAGTAATTTTATTTGCAGAGAACTTTCTATAAATTCTTTTTTTTTTTTTTTTTTTTATTGTTGGCTGTTCAAAACATTACATAGTTCTTGATATATCATATTTCACAATTTGATTCAAGTGGGTTATGAGCTCCCATTTTTACCCCATATACAGATTGCAGAATCACATCAGTTACACATCCATTGATTTACATATTGCCATACTAGTGTCTGTTGTATTCTGCTGTCTTTCCTATCCTCTACTATCCCCCCTCCCCTCCCCTCCCCTCCCCTCCCCTCCCCTCCCCTCCCCTCTTCTCTCTCTGCCCCCTTTACTGACATTCGTTTGTCCCCCTTGTATTATTTTTCCCCTTCCCCTCACTTCCTCTTGTATGTACTTTTGTATACCTCTGAGGGTCTCCTTCCATTTCCATGCATTTTCCCTTCTCTCTCCCTTTCCCTCCCACCTCTCATCCCTGTTTAATGTTAATCTTCTTCTCATGCTCTTCGACCCTACTCTGTTCTTAGCTACTCTCCTTATATCAAAGAAGACATTTGACATTTGTTTTTTAGGGATTGGCTAGCTTCACTTAGCATAATCTGCTCTAATGCCATCCATTTCCCTGTAAATTCTACGATTTTGTCATTTTTTAATGCAGAGTAATACTCCATTGTGTATAAATGCCACATTTTTTTT